TATATAACACCGATAGATAAATAAACAAGCATGGAAAAGTTAATATTGATAACTTGATAAAATGTTGCTGACAATGTTCCGAAGGATAGGCTCCTATCATGCATCTAATAATTCTTTTTTGCAAGAGAAAAACTTTATTCATATGGGCTAAATTTCCCCAGAAAATCAAGCCATATAAAAGTACCGAATGCACACTAGTCCGTAGTAGGTTAATTTTAGTACATCCAAAGTCACAGTTAGTTTAAGTTGTCTGATGACAAAGCAAATGCTACATAGCTTAGATGCAAGTATCTATGTGGCTTTCTCATGTGAGCTTGTGATCGATTGTTAGACCTAAAAACTTAACCTGCCTTACCTGGTGTAGATTTATGTTCAATTTTTATTAATTGACTTTCGTCGAGGCATTAATTTTTTGGTTGGAAAAGCATAAATACTGTTTTATTAAAATTAAACAATAGGCCATTATTTGAGCAACAATGTTGGAATTCATTTGCGCTAATATTTGAGGCAGAAACTATATCAGACAGATTGTTTTCAGCAATAAGTTGATTCGTGCCATCAGCATAACCAACGGTAATTACTCTAGGTGTTGGACATGAGTATTCTAAGTCGCTCATAAACAAGATGAAAAATAGTGGGGCTAAAACTGAGCCCTGAGGAACTCCTTCTGTTATTAGCCCGGGAGCGAATTTAGCATCTTCTATAGCTACAATCTGAGATCTTCCCCGCAGATAGGATGCATCTCTGTTTACTTGTAATGGCAGGTCATTTTGAGCAGTTATTGTAATTGTTTTGTTCTAAGTACCATTTCGAATTTTTTGTTCAGTTAATAGCTGTTAGTATTAATGATAGTCTTGTTAAAAAATCTGTAGTTTTATTTTTATTTTCAGATTATTTATAATTAACGTGTTTTTCAAGCTGTCAATTGCCAACTCTATAAAACTTTCAGTATTTACCAAAAATATCGTTTTATTATTAAAAATCGAAAAAACTCTACGACAGTAACATTTAGACATAGGAAATACTACAAAAGTAAAAGTATTTTGTAAGTAATTTATGAAAATTATATAATATACGGGGTGTTCCATTTGAAATAACCAAGAAAATCATGGTCGTGAGTTTTGGGTTACCCTGTATACAAAATGAAAGATATCAAAAGCATGATGAGTTGCAACAAAACTGAACTACTACGAAATTATTCTGGCCTTAAGATATTAACCCTTAATTGTTGATTCTAAATAATACAGGCTGACGATTTTATTAAGATTTTCACATAAAAGTGGCCATTTCTTTAAAAGTACCCTGTAGAACCTGATAAAACTTTATATTGCCGGAATGGGGAAATTAAGCACAATTCAAATTCGGGATAACATATAGGGCATTCCACTTAAAAAGCAACTTTGGTATGCTGTGACTTTATGAAACACCCTGTATATTACAAAATAATTTTAAAACATGAAGCTGGACTCTACCTATAATTTGTATTTAAAACCTTTTTCGTATGCCTCAAAACATCAGAGATATCAAACTCCGGGGTATAAGTTGTATGTAAAAATGTATAATTATAAATTTTTTTGATAAAAAAATAACATTTTTATACAAAACAAATATTTTTGGGTTATTTAAATGAATCTCATGTAGGGTATTTCTTCTTTGATATCTTTGGTTTGTTTTTTTTTTATTATATTATTGAAAATATAGTGGGATATGATATACATCAATCCTGTAGCCAAATTATATTTCTAGTTTAGTAAGTTGTTGATATAAGTTACTCTTCATAAAAAGTTCAGCATCGTCTAAAATTTAAAACATAACTATCAAATTTGGTACAAATCTAAACTAGGTAGGTTTATTTTTGACATTATCGAAAGATGTTATTAAAAAAAGTTGTTTTGATTTAAAAAATTTACATTTAAATAAGCGGTTACAGTCAGATATTAAAAAATATATATATTGTTATTTTCCCAAGCAACTTCAGGAAGTTGTTGCAATTCGTAACTAAAATAAAACAAGGCTCCAAAATTAAATTGTGTGTACTAGTATTAATATGCAGACATATATTTTTTGTACTACATAGTAACTTTGCAAAATCACACAACGTCTGTGACTGCATATTTCAAACAAATTTTCTTTATCAAAATTTTAAATTTAATGAGAAACGATGTGCAAATAAACGCACATTTGTTTTGTACAAAAAAAGTACATTTGACTCTGGTGTACCTAAGTATGTATAACAGACTTCAAAATATGTTTTAAAAAAATTTAAATATTGCTGCTACTCTTTTGTTTTAAGTTCCACTATTTTTAATAATTCACTAGAACTTTCTGTTTTATAATTTTTTATAATTCTACTGTAATATAATAAATTATTGTAGAACAAATATTATACTAAATTTGCTAACGTAAAGAAATTTTACCTAATTGATAAATATAAGCTAATATTAAAAACCTACCCCAAAAATAAGGAGATGGAAGATTTTTACTTTCCTATCTGTATACAGATATAAGGAAAGTATAGGAATCATGATTTTTTTCGACCTGTGTGTGTGTGTGTGTGTGTGTGTGTGTGTGTGTGTGTGTGTGTGTGCGTGCGTGCGTGTGTGTGTGTGTGTGTGTGTGTGTGTGTGTGTGTGTGTGTGTGTGTGTGTGTGTGTGTGTGTGTGTGTGTGTGTGTGTGTGTGTGTGTGTGTGTGTGTGTGTGTGTGTGTGTGTGTGTGTGTGTGTGTGTGTGTGTGTGTGTGTGTGTGTGTGTGTGTGTGTGTGTGTGTGTGTGTGTGTGTGTGTGTGTGTGTGTGTGTGTGTGTGTGTGTGTGTGTGTGTGTGTGTGTGTGTGTGTGTGTGTGTGTGTGTGTGTGTGTGTGTGTGTGTGTGTGTGTGTGTGTGTGTGTGTGTGTGTGTGTGTGTGTGTGTGTGTGTGTGTGTGTGTGTGTGTGTGTGTGTGTGTGTGTGTGTGTGTGTGTGTGTGTGTATAACACATAACTCATGAACCGATACACGGAAAAACACTTAATTTCAAACTTAAGCTTTGTTCCAGCGTCTAATGAGCTGATTAGATTTTGGACAGAGTCGGAACATCTGGGGGGGTACTTTATAGGTGGCCATTTTTATATTTTATGGAATATATGTTATTTACGTTTGGGGAAGAAAATTCTTTAAATGAAAGTTACTTCTTATTTTATTATCTATAATTTTTGTTATATACAAAATTTTCCTAAAATGGTCCGTATTCGCGAAATTTGACAAAATGTAAAAAAATATTTTTTTTTATAAAAATTGTTCAAACAAAAGTTGTTTGTAATATAATTCTCTATAATGTTTATCCTATAGATAATTTCTCTAAAATGGACCGTATTCAAGATATTTGAGAAAATGTGTAAATTTCGAAATTTGAAGAAAACTCAAAAACGAATAAAGAAAAAAACATTAAATTTTAAACTTAAGTTTTATTTCGGCCTGACGTGAAATGATTGGATTTTGGACAAAGTCGGAACATCTGGGGGGGTACTTTATGGGAGGCCGTTTTTATATTTTATGGAATATATCTGTTATTTATGTTTGGAGAAAAAAATTATTCAAATAAAAGTTACTTCTAATATTATTATCTATAATTTTTGCTTTATGTAAAAATTTCCTGAAATGGTCCGTATTCGAAAAATTTGACAAAATGTGCAAAATTCTGATTTTTATGAAAATTGTTGAAATAAAAGTTGTTTGCGATATTGATCTCTATAATATTTGTTTATACATGATTTTTTTAAAATGGACCGTAATGGAAAAATTGTAGGAAAAGTGCTAAATTTAAATTTTTCAGTATTTTCATTTTCAATGAATATCTATAGAAAAATGTTTCGCGGTAGATGTATGTGGACAATGTATATATTTAGTTTATCCTCTAAACATTTATAGAGATGCTGCAATAGGTTGTACAAAATAACCGGAAAAAGCCTGTAATAACTAGATAGGAAAGTCATGTGTTGGACACATCAGATTTTTTTTTTTGGATTTCATCCACAGATCTGGTTCACTGAGGTACCCCCTTTCAAACAAAAAAAAAAATAATAGAAATCGAATAACGTGTTCGGTTAAAAAGAGAAGATATATATGTCCAATGTAAAAATTGTTATTTATCAATAAATTTTGTATAATATCCATTATCTCTGTTTCATCCGCAGGAAACATATACATTGCATTTTTTTTTTTTTTTTTTTAATTATCAGTGTAATATTTAAATCTGGTATTTTATTGACAAATTTTTATCCAAGTGTCCTATATTAATTATTAAAATGATTCAAAATTTCTTGTTTACAAGTTACCTTAGACCCGTCTGTTAATATAATTTCTTCAATATTTGTTTGAGGTCTTTGTTTTCCGCATATATCGTTTACACATAATAGTCCTGACGTTACCCACTTTTTTTATAAACAATTTTATCTTTTATTTTAAATGAATTTATATTTTTATTTATATAATATTTTAATTTGGTAATAAAATGTAGATACATAATATTATTTGCGTTTATTTAGCCATGATATAATTCAAGTCTCTTCAGACAAATCTAGTTTTAATTTTTTATAGTTTATATATTTCTTAAAGTTTTCATGACGCTCTTTAAGTTTAGAATTTTCTATTTTAAATATTAACCCTATAGGACTATGATCAGTAATATAGTGCCTAAAAATAAAAGATGTCATGCCTATACCTATGTTCTGAATTTGTGTTTGATTTATTTTGTACCCAGAAATGGTCGACTAGGTAATCTTGTATACTCATTCACATACGAGTATGATATAAAACCATGGTAGCATAATATATTTTTATACATTTCAATATAATCAACATTATCTAAGATATTCATATTTATATCGCCTGTAATTATGTTAATATCACTTTTAACCAACTGATTTAAATAATTTAGGAGGTTCGCATTAAACATATAAGAAGAAATTGATGAAATAACATCAAATTTAGTATCCATTATTAAATAAGAAATTATTAATAACATAACTTACCTCAATATTTATTTCTTCATTATTACTACAGCTACAACTAACGTATAAACCAATAATATTATTAATGTCCTATTTTTTCGAAACGATTTCAGACGAATTCAAATATTTTTCCAACTTTCGAAATAGTTCGAAAAGTTTTCTACAGTCGCGCACGTGTATTTTTCGGTGTTGTCAGGCCACCCGGTTGAGTGTTCAAACGGTAAATTCGCAGTCGCAACTGTCGCTCAATTCAACCTTCCTTCGTATATATGAAATCCAGAGAATTTCCAGGCGCAATCTCCTGGAAATCTCTTTTTCTCTCAATTCTAACTAATAACATTTTTAAAATCGTAAATCGCAAAAATAAAATAAGTATCAGGCTAATTGTAACAATATAGATATATATTTATTCTTTTTAAATACTTATATTTTAACACAGAAACTTAAAAAACCGGTCAAAATTTTGTTCATAATTTTAACCAATAAATGATTCATCTCATTCACTCACAAATAATAATGACAAAGTGTATATTGCCAGCACATACTTTGATTATTATACGGTGCAAGAGAGACGTCCGACACGTCCAAAATAGGGCGCGGCCAATTTGATGTAAACACTACTAGGTTAGGCAATACATATTTATCCAAAATGTTAAACTGGTAGCCTACATCTTGGATTTTTGAGATTTTAAATAAAGGCAACAAATGTAGAAAAAACGTTTTTTTTTTTTATTTTAAATAATATTCAAGAAATTTTTTGGAAGTAAAGTTATAAGTGCATCTTGAAGTAGAGTTGAGTAGTTTAAAATTATTTTTAAATTTGTGCATATGATTTTAACTTATTATTATGACGTTTTTCGCCAGTACGATGCCCATGAACAAACATTTATTTTATTTTTGTCATGATTGGGGATGGGGCAAATTTGTCCTATGTTTAATCTGTACCATTCTTAATGTAATAAAAATATTTGAGACTAAACAATCTAATATTATTTTACATTTTTTAGCTGTAAATACGGTACAAAATTATACAATAAAAACAAAGAAATGTGAGATTAAAGAAGCTTTAAAAGATATTATTATAGGAATATACTTTTGCAGGCAAGCTGCAACAATTTAAAATATTAAATGAGCTACACTTTTATTTATATCCTCTAAAAGTTCTAAAATTCAGAAAAGGAAATCAAATGAAAAAAAAAATCAAAATATGGTTTTTGTAAATTCAATTCAATTTTCAATTCAGTTCAATTCCAATTTATTTAGTAATACAGTAATTAGTCTACATTTTTCTTATATTAGTACAAACTGTTAGGTGAGGAGCACGAAAACAAACTAAAAACCTAGGTGAAGTGCCTGTGTTGTCTTTTTGTTTATTTCCGGACCCCTTCTCAATTATGTATTAATTTATATAACATTAAGAGTTATTGCTCCGATGACAATAGCACAGCTTAACAATACAGCTAAAACACTCTCTTGGCGGCAACGGTTTGCGTCGAGTTCGTCGCGCATCGCTTAAGCTCCGCCTTCGAAGGGAAAAGACGGTTTTGGCGTTCAGAAGCGTACTTAGGTAAGGTGTTGAGTCGTGTGTATAATTTCGTTGATTGTATAATTTCGTGGAGCCTATAATTTCGTTGATTTTGTTTAAGTCAAAGGTACTGTTATTATTTTGGTGACTCTTTAGCTGTGAGTAGAATGAGTGAAAAAAAAAAAGACATCATTCTGTTTGTGCAGTCAAAAGCTGTTTTAATAAGGGTTATACCTGCAAGAAAACATTCTTTAGTTTTCCCAAGGACCCAAACCGATAAGTACCACATTATAAGAAATTTTCATTGTTAAAAATATAATTTATACAGGGTATCCCATTAGTGCGTTATTGTTCATTATTTTGTTGTAGACACGCAAGAAAGTTTTAAATAAAAGTTATATGGATTTGAAAAATATCTACATATTTTAAAAATATCTTTGGATATACAGGGTGTCACGTTTTTGCCTGGCAAATTAAAATGTACGTTTTTTAAATGGAACACCTTGTATTTTATTTTATGATAAAATTATTAACACCCTAAATTATTGTAAAGACGAATTGATACAGAAAAATTTTATCAGGTATGTGTGTGGTTACCTTTTAATAAAAGCCTTGCGGATCCACTCCTCTGCGATACCTGTCTTAAATATAACAAAGATCACGTCGAATTAGATGATTTTTCTTTTTATTGCTTTTTAAAGGCATATGATAACGCCAATCCAGATACATTTGGAAATCAGTAACTGTCAAATGATGAATTTGTAGAACTAATTTCAATATTGAAAAGATATTTCAAAATAATTTTGAAGAATTGGCTACAAAAAATAACATTTGTACCACACTTTTAGAATTAATTAACCCAATACCCTTTAGTCATCCATGCTAACGTTTTCCAAAAGAATAACTTATTTTATTGTATGTTTAATCTCAATAACTAAAAAATATACTGACAATTAGTTTGACAGAATTGCCATTTATTTAAAATTTTAAAAATAATAGCAGTCGGTTGATTAAAATATGAACGGTGATTGGCGAATTTATTTTTTTTTTGCAGTGTTCTCACTACCTAGAATGGATATGAAATATATTCGTTCAATTGAACGCAATAACATACTTTTTCGTTTTGTAATCTGTGCATGGATATTAGCCAATCTACGAACATACTACAAAACGAAAAAGTATGTTATTGCGTTCAACTACGAATATATTTCATATCCATTTTAGGTAGTGAGAACACTTTAACAAAATTAAATCTACAAATCACAGTTCATATTTTGGTCACCCAACTCCTATTATTTAAAATTTTTTAAATAAGTGACAATTCCGTTAAACTAATTGTCAATATATATTTTAGTTATTGATATTAAATATACATTAAAATTTTTGTGTAGACTCGATAAATAATAGCATTTTTGTTTTTATTGTGTCCACATTTAAAAAAAAAAATAAATTTTAATCAAACTACATGATACTAATTTAATTACGAGTATTAAAACTAAAGTCCTGAAAGTTTCGGTGAAGATGAAGACAGAGCATCTGCCTTCCACGCGAAAAGCCCGGGATCGAATCTAGGCCGAGGACTAATTAATTTTTCATGTTTATTTTATTTTATAAATTAGTCAACTTCGTAAATTATTTTAAAATTAGTTATTTTGTCTAAATAACCTAAAATAATTTTTTAAATTTGTAGATTTTCGTTAGTGGGTCGTAGAAAAAATATACTGACCATATCGAGTGGATTGTTCATATCACAATCAGACGATTGAGTACTCTGCCTACGACATCGTGCTCAAACTTCGTCTTTGTGTGATATTGCTATCATATCCACCCTTGTTGAACAAACTATAATTTATTTGTTTTCTTGGTTTAAACCAAAACTTAAGTTTTACATCAGAAATAGGAACTAAATTAATTTACTTTTCAAGTTTTCTTGTAAAAATCGATATTACTTTCTCCAAGTACAAATTTAGTACCTACCTAAAATAAGTACTAATTATGTAATATCGTGTAATATTGTAATTCAAATTTCACATTACTATAAAGTTTCAAAATTCCCTACTTCGGTATGGTCAGATAAAAATTGAATATATTATATTAATAAAAACTGTCAAAGTATTACTTCTACAAATCTGTATTTCAACTAATAAGAATACATCTAAATATAACCAATATTGTTAAAATAAAAGCACAAATTCTTTATAATTCCAAAATACCATAGAGTTCCCAGACCTCAGTCGAAGCATTCGTTTATATAGGTATAAACCCTTTGCGCGAAGAGTAACACTTGCCAGAGACACGGGGTACCTCTTGATTTGCATCCACGAGCGTGACACAATTCTTTAACAATTGAAGCCCTTGGTGTAAAAAGGATCCAAACCACAATTTGTCGTGAAGTGACTGTTTTAGCTCAAAACATTTGTTAACCAGGATTTTACTAGCCACATACAAATTATTTTACCTCTAATCCGAAAGATGTGCTATTTTTCGTAATATTTATATTTAAATAATGTTTCTAATTATATTTGACAGATTTAAAACAAATTAAAAATTTAATTTCCCAAAACTTACTTAATATGGCATGTAACCAACCTTATTACGCCAAGGTTTTCAATTTTTCAATAATAAAAAAATTGTTTAATCCGGGCCCGACTTTTCCCTCGAATCTAAGAGAGATAGCACCATTCCGTCTTGCTTGGTTCTCGACCGCCAGATCAAAGACGCCGACACGGAGTTGTGGAGCTGTATTGTATAAGCTGTGACAATAGCAGGAAATTTGTATTAAAAATAGGCATTCTGTTTTAATCCTAGAAGACACAGTTTTAAAGATAATACCATATATTTTTTTATGTGCAAAGAGAATAAGTGGCACTAGCGGGTTTTCATACTTTTTTGAAAAAATGGTCCGTTTTGTCTACAAAAAATTATAAACTTTATTAATTTTGTTTAAAAAAAGACAACTTTTAATAGAGAATTAACGTTATCAAACATGCATTATTTTTCGAACGATTAATGTCAACTTGTAGTAAATCTGTTTCTTAATAAGATCAAAAAATTATTTTTAAAATTGGACTTAATATAAAGCCGTAATCATTAAAATAGCAAAGTAATTTCGGATATAAAAATGATTGAAAAATATGATTACGATATCCCCTCTCATGACGTTCCGTGTTCGTACCGAAGGATGGGTGCTGTTGCCTTCCTCGTCTACCTAGTATTGAAATTTGACCAGATACGGAATAAGGGTACATACATAGGATAGAACTTAAATTTATTGTTGGTCGGTTGGTGCGAAGAGGGAAATTTTATTACATGAGATAATTTTGTTTTCAATATAGAATTTGCAATGTTTCAATATATTTAAAACATAGTTTGATTAGAAAAAATTAGGTAGTAGAATTATATTTGTATAGTAGCTATATATTATATTTTCTAAAATAACTCATTTTGCAAAGAATATCAACTAAGCTACTAATATAATAAAATCTATAAATCAACCTTATTAATAATGTATTTAACAAATATTTCTTGTTATATTAATAATTTACATGTTTTCTGACTTATCTGTGAATGAAACGTGGAGAAAATAGTTTTACTTACAAGTTTTTCCTGATTTTGTTGCTGTCTGCTGTTGTAGTGATCTGATAATTTGTAGACTGTATAATTGTTTACAGAAAGATATTTCCTTGGATGCCCTATTTTCAGCATA